GTCCACCGTGCCCTGAGCCCACTAAGATGCTGCATCCCTGGGTTTGGCTCAAATATGGGTTTGCTTCCTTCCCTCCAGTCCTAGCTCTGCTGGAAACATTCCCAAAAATGAAAGCCAGCTTTTTTGTGAGCTTTGAAGTGTGGAGTAGAATTGAACAGAGGGGGAAAAAAAAAAAAAAAATCTAGCATGTGGGGGATGGGTTTTTAGAAAAAAACCTTATTGAGTCAACTACATTTGTATGAAAACCAGCAAGTCCTTGGAGGCATTTCCATAGGAACCAGCCCCCCCCTTTTCCGGGCAGCCTCCCTGCAGGCTGCGGCCAAGCGGGGAGCAGCGCTGCAAGGGGGGGCTCCCAGGTCTGCCCGCCCCAGGCGGGGGGAGCAGGGCAGGGCGGGCTGCTCGCTGTTGAATCAGTGACTCACAGCTCTGATTCACAGCTCCATCCTATAGCCGTGGAAGGCAGCCAGGTCTGGTCGTCAGCTGTGCGCCTCTTCCCAATGCGAGAAGTTATTTTTGGGCGTTTTTAGATTACAGCGCTTGTTTTTTTCCGTGCCTCTGAATTCTGGATGATTGCACTGCAAGTAATTGAGACGCTTGAATTTCCTGCTTAGAGAAATGAGCTCAATACCATTTTTTTGCAGCTCTAAGGCATTTCTAAAATAGCTTTTCTGTGTGTTGTCATGGGGATCAGGCACACAGCTTTGGGGCTGTTTGTCCAAAATTTGGGAACACTGGGTGCAGTAGATTTGCAGAAAAGGACCTGGGGACCATCAGGTTGAACCTGAATCACCAGTGTGCCCTTGCTGTGATGGAAACCTACTGTGTACTGGGTTTTACTGGTAAGATTGTAGTCAGCAGGGCAAGAGAAGAGATGATTGCTTTCAGTTCAGCACTTAAGGGACAACACCTGGAGCACTGTGCCTGGGTTTTGGGCTCCCCACTGCAACAAAGACCTGGCCATATGGGAGCCGCCAAACGGTCAGAGGTCTGGAACCCATGGCAGGGGAGGAGAGGCTGAGATTGCTCCTTCAGCTTGGAGGCGTGAGAGGTAGGAGAAGGGTCTCATTGCTGTCTTCAGAGGTGCACAGTGAAAGGATGAGGGTCAATGGGCACATGTTGCAATGAGACAAATTTGGAGTGGATGTTAGGAAATCTTTTTCACCCCAGTATGGTCAAACACTGCAACAGGAGTCCAGAGAGAGATGGAGAAAGCTTGTACTCAAAATGTGATTGCTCAGAGCCCTGAGCATCTAACATGAAGTTGGATCCAGCTGAACGCTTGGTTCTGTTCTGAGTGGGGTATTGGACCGGAGACCGTCCAACGTTCATTAAGCTGGGTGCTTCGTGTCCCCCTCCATTCTAATCAGTCTGTGATTTTGTGATCCCACAGGGCATTAAGGGGATACAGGGCTTTGGCTGTCCCCCGGCACTGGGGTATCACTGTATGGCAGGTGCCAGTGAAGCCCACCGCTTGAGTTCACATGTGTTCCCTCCCTCTCTAAGACCAGAAGAAAGGAAAAGGGTCAGAAACACTGCCCATCTCCCCCTCCTCTGGGGGTGAACCTCTCTGCTCACTGGTGATGCAGGGCCACCCTTCCGTGGGGGCACACACCTCTAAAACACAGGGTCAAAACAACCTGGACAAGATCTTGGTTCTCTATACAGCCACTCATCTTGTGCCGTGCACCAGAGAGGTCGGGCTGTGTTGCTCAACCCCATCCCAGGCTGCAAGGATTAACCATGGCCCTTCTGCCCCCCGCTTCCAACCCAGCCCTGGGCAAGTCTGGAGCTCAGCGGTGGCTGGCTCTCCTGTCTGTGCCTGCATGTAGCTGTGGGGCCAAGGGCCATTGGGGTGGAGAGCATGGGCCACTGGTCAGGGAGCGCAGTGATGCTGGGGGCCCTGGTGCTACCTGCCAGGTCAATGCCTGACCACAGGGTGAGCCTTTCCTTCTATGCATTCCCGCTGTCTGAGGGCACGGAGGCAGGAGGAGCTTCTGTCCAGCGTGGCCCATTGCCGGAAGGAGAGGTGGGAGGGGAGGAAAGAGTCTTTCAGGAGGTGGAAAATGTGATGCTGGCACTGCCGCATCAAAGAGGAAGTTGAACCCAGGCCTCCGATTTCAAAACAGGGTTCAAACCACTGGAATATTACAATTTAAAAAAAAAATAAATTGATTTGGCACTTCCTTCTGCTTTCCCTTTCCCCATCCCTGGATCCCATCAGCATGCCGGGGCAGCCCCCAGAGCCAGCAGTGGGAGGCACTGGGGTGTTTCTGGGAAGCTTTCCTGCAGCCCTGAAAAACCTGGGAACCTCAGCTGCCAGCCTGGCAGGGGGCTGGTGGGGCAGGAGCTGCTGGGGTTAACTGGTGGCTGCACGGGTTGTGGTTTGCAATGGGGTTTAGGTTCCTAAGTCCTTTATTGGATCTTGCCCGGGGCTCTATTCCCAGCCCTGCCTGTGACATTAACAGGTCACTGCAGCCCCAGGGCTGTCCCCGCCTGCCTTGGCCTCACCGCCCCGCCTGCCTGCACGCCGCTCGCTGCCCTGGTGCAGGGCAGCAGCCCCCACGTCCGAGGTGTCTCAGCACAACCGTCACGCAAACGCCGAAATCAATTTGCAAGGCAGGCAACGCCTCGCTGCTGGCCTTCTTGAAACTGTGCCACCCCGCACCCCGCGGAGCAGCGGCATAAATAGCTCGTGGGACGCCCTGGGTCGCAGCAGACGGCAGGTATTTCAGAAGCGGCGCTGTCGGCAGCGTCGTGCCGGGGCAGCCTCTGCCACATTAGTGGTGGTTTGCATCCTCCACAGCTAAACCGGCGTGAGAGCAGTGCCCTGCGCCGGGCTGGGGATGGACCGGGCAGGCGGTACAGAAGGAGAAGGGACGGATGGTCGTGTGGTCCTGGCACAGAGCCTGCGTGTCGTTGGACAGGTTGCTTAAGACCAGACTTTCAGTGGAGTACCTGGGAGCATCCATACACACATCCTTACACTTGGGTCTTGTTTTTCAAGGGGGGTTTGCCCATATGTACCCCTCACTGGGTCCCTACCAAGCCCTGTGACTGAGCAGGGCCTGATCGGAGCTCACGGGCACTCTTATCCATCCTGTCCATCTGCAGTTTGTCTTCCTGCGTGCAGGACATTTGCACAGGGAGGACGGAGGAAGCTCCTGTGCATTCAGGGCTTCCTTCCTTGCAGAGCATTGATTCAGCTGGGGCAGTGACCTAGACATGGGAGCAGATACAACCTTCAAGGACATGCCTGTGGCTCCATCCTGTTTCCGAAGGGGCGATATCGAGCCTGTCCTACGTGTGAGGGCTGCAGCGGGTGCAACTGTCGGGGGCGCTTGGGCAGCAGGATGCTCAGCATGGTGGTGAAAGAGCCCATCTGCCACCCAGCACGCCGGGCTGAGTTGGCACCGTCAGTGCCTGCGCTGGCATTTGCAGCATGCGGGGTGCTGAGTGCTCAAGCACGGAGCTGCCGGCAGGAGACCCCAGAGCTGGGGGAGATCTTGGCTGTTGAGCATGTCTGAGCAGGTTTTTGGGGCCTGAGCGGGGCTTGGGGGTCTGAGCAGGGCTTGGGGGTCTGAACAGGGCTTGGGGGTCTGAGCAGGCTTGGTCTGAGCAGCGCTTGGGGGTCTGAGCAGGGCTTGGGGGTCTGAGCAGGTTTTCGGGGCCTGAGCAGGGCTTGGGGGTCTGAGCAGGGCTTGGGGGTCTGAGCAGGTTTTCGGGGCCTGAGCAGGGCTTGGGGGTCTGAGCAGGGTTTCAGGGTCTGGCAGCTCCTGGGTGCAAGGGCTGGGATCACAGCGATGGAGGAGGAGGAGGCCACCTCTGTGCCTTGCAGCCTGGTGGTTTGAACACTTTCCTGAGAAACAGGCTCAGCTCTCTCCAAGGGAAAGGGCTTTCAAATCCCCCACCTCGCTTCTGGAGAGCTCCCAGCTGCAAAAGCAGGGCAGCCCTTGTCCCAGGAGAGCCAGCACACAGCCAAGGGGCAGAGCCTGGCGTCCCAGGGGTGGTAAGAGCTGCAAGTGGGAGAGGGGAGACCAGCGGTCTGAGTGATGTGGTCACCTTGGGTCAGAGCAGAGGAGGACCCAAGAAAGCTGGTGAGATGTTCAAGTCACTCTTCTGGAAGCAGGGAGGCTCTGGAGGGGCTGTCCTATCCAGAGGGGAAGGGCCACCACTAGTGAGCGGTGGCCGAGCACAGCTGGCACTTGGCAAACGTGAATGTGGGGCTTGTTGGACTGCACACAGACTACTGGTAGTAACCTGGGTCACAGACCCTCCTTAATCAAAGCCTGGTAGCATCCCCAGAGGTTTCACAGGCAGATCTGTGGTGCTGAGCCCCTCCATCAGCCAGTCCTGGGGAACCAAGGTGGGTGCCCACCTTTCTTCTCTCCCATCCCCATTGCTCCAGCCTCTCTAGGACTGTTCGCTGCCCACTCCGCAGAGCTGGTGGCTGCTCCTGGCCTCCTGTTGGAGCAGTCCCTTGGGGTGCCAGGCAGCTGGCTCTGTGCCGATCCCAAAGGCCACCACACCATGGGGTTTTCTCACCCTCTGTCTTAGGAATGAGGCTGCAGAATGGAGTTGTAGCCTGAAATAGCTGGAAAGGTGCCTCCACTCACACGGCCTGCAAAAGGAGCAGGACCCGGTTGTGCAAGGGTGCATGCACCTCTGGGGCCTTAGGACCAGCATTTTTGGTAGTATTACATTGTATTGGTGGGAGGGGATTACATGATATGGGAGGGGGTTTGAGGTGTGGGGGTGTAGGCTGTCTCTGAAGTCAGCAGAAGTTGCTGGAAGCACTGCTGAGCCCCCCAAGTGCTTTTGGTATTGGCGGTTATTCCCCAAAGGCCTGGGGAGGGATGGAGACCTCTGGAAGTGTCTTGACTCTTGAGTGTTATTTAATAGAAGGATTTAAAGCCTGCAAACTCCTCTTTGCTAGCAAACTCATGCCTTCCTCCTGCCCGAGCTGCAGTACTTGCTGTGTTTTGTTTTTTCTTTTCCTGTAGCTCCCAGAATGGAGAGGAAGGTGGAGCCTGGCCGAACAACCAGTTTGACACGGAGATGCTCCAAGCCATGATCCTGGCTTCAGCAAACGGTTGGTGTCCATCACGTGTGCGAAGACCATGGCACTTGCTCTCGCGCGGGTACCTCAGATGCACGCCCACGCTGGTGGGACTTGGGTATCTGGGTTGACTGGGGTGGCTTCGAAAGTCCTTCTTCAGCAGTTGCTGGTGGAAAAGCACTGCTGTCTGTGTTACCCTGCGGAGGAGCAGGGTTGGGAAGGATTCAGGCAGAGGAGATGCCAAGTAGGCATCAGCATCAGGCATGGTGTAGACAGGGGCACCTCTTCCACCCAAACTGTTATCTGTGTGCTGGGCAGAACACTTTCTGGCTCAAGGCACGGTTGTGTTACGTGGAAGAGCCAGGCTTGAGGTGATGTTTTATAAATGGCTTGGTTCCAGAAGGTCACAGTAAATGGAACGTCTGCTGCATTGCAATTTGCCGTAAGGCGAGGAGGGAGGAAGACTGATAGATTTGCATGTGGGTAGAGGCTGGGCGGGGAATATGGCGAATGCCTGCCTCAGTATCCCCAGCAAGCCTCGTGCCCAGGGACACTGCCCTGTGCTCCCTGCTCATGCCGGGCCCCCGCCAAGCTGCGGGCGCGCTGAGGTTTGCCCCACCAGCTCCTGCTGGCTCTTTCCAGTTGTAGTCGCAGTTTGGGGTCGTTTTGGGTTGGTTTGTTCTGGTTTATGGCTGTCCCGTGTGGAAGCAGTGGGCAGGGAGGGGTGTTCCCATGCAGCCGCGGCTTTTGTATAAAAGAAGTGCAATTACCACTGCGCTCTGGATGAAGAGGCTGGTTTTCATACAGCCTTTATTTATAAATACCTCCAAGTCTTTTTCCCCTTGATTTAAAAATAGAAGCAACAGCACAGCCATAAAACCCTGTGCAAAATGCTTAGGATGTTTCCTTTGGGCTGTTGGGAGAGCAGGAATCTGGGGGAGGAGGGGTGGGTTTGGTGTTGCTTTCTTGGAAAGCCACTGCAGCTGAACTTTGCCACTTTGCAGACACCAGGCAGCCAGGAGACAGAGCTGCCGTGGCCAGGGAAGGGGATGAAGGCCTTGGGCAAGGGGAGTTGTTTACACTCAAGGGAAAGAATGCAAAAATGTGTCTCGGCTCTGAAAAACGGCCATGGAAAAACAGCCTCCAGGGTTGCATGTGGTTATCATCACCCGGAGTCTCCAGATCCGGTTTCCTTGCTCACAGATAAAGCTGTTTTTCTGGCTGCCACTCCAGCAGTCCCCAGGATCAGAGAGCTGAGCAGGTCCCTTCCAGGTTAGACACCAATTTCCACGTAGCCCCAGGGCCCTATTGCAGCAAATCTTCCCCAATCCACAAGTCTCAATTAGTCCCTAATGTCTCCCACAGCTTTAGTCCCTCCAGGGGGTTAATTTAAATCAGGTCCATCCACTCCATAAGGGCTTCCCCTACTGCAGCCCCAGTGGCTCTGTGCACTCCATCCTTTTCTTGCCCGTGCCGGTCCCTTGCTACACACACTGGATGGATGGAGGGATGGATTGAGGGAGGGAGGGACTGAGGGAGGGGGGGAAGGACTGAGGGAGGGAGGGATGAATGGAGGGATGGGTGGATCAGGATCAGGGGAGTGATCGTGCCCCTGTACTTGGCACTGGTGAGGCCCCACCTTGAATACTGTGTTCAGTTTTGGGCCCCTCACTACAAGAAAGATGTTGCGTTGCTGGAGCATGTCCAGAGGAGAGCAACGAAGCTGGTGAGGGGTCTGGAACCCCAGGCTGCTGGGGGGGAACTGGGGGTGTTCAGCCTGGAGCAGAGGAGGCTGAGGGGAGCCCTCATCGCTCCCTACAACTGCCTGAGAGGAGGGGGGGGCCGGGGGGGGTCAGGCTCTGCTGCCAGGGAACGGGCGATGGGACAAGCAGCCCTGGGGGGATTTAACAGCCGGGCAGGGGCGGTGCTGAGGGCCAGGGTTTGGGGGTGGGATGGCAGGGGTAGGGGAGCGGTTGGGCTGGGGGGGCTTAAAGGGCTTTTCCAACCCAAATGATTCTGTGATTCTATTCTATGATTCTATGGAGGGAGGGATGGATGGATGGAGGGATGGATTGAAGGATGGATGGACAGACGGATGGAGGGATGGGGCCAAGTGGGGACACATCACAAGCTTTTTCCACCAGCACTGTGTTTTCATGTCTCCCCTGCTCTCTCTGTCCCCCCCCTTTCTGCTCTCACTCATTAAGCTAATCGAGTTGATTGGAGCAGGCTTTGATCAGGGGCAGTGCTAATTGCCCACTAAGCTTTGTGCTGCCCATCCGTGGGTAATGTTTCCTGGCTATTTAAATGATCCTTATTTCTTACTGTCACTTGCTGAGCTCTGTTCCGGGTGGCAGGCGGGACGCAGTGGCAGAGGTGACGGCAGTGCGTGCCCTTCGCTCGCCCGCTCCTCCCGGTGTGAGCCGCTCCCATGCAGAGGGGTCGATGCCGACTTCCACCACACCACATCAAGCCCATGCTCGGCTCCGCACCAAGCAGAGACAACTTGGGGGGCAGAAACTCCTCCTCCATGAGCTAGGGAAGCCCCCCCGAAGGGACTGGTGATGCCCCATGCGCATCCTTACCCAGTGCCAGGGTCACCGTGGCACGAGGCAGAGCTGGCCCTGCCATGCCAAGCCCGCATGATCCAGTCTTTCTGTGGATTAAATCACCCTCCAAAGCCAGAGTGCCTGGGGAGCTGGGTTCCCCCCAGGGCTGTAAGGTTTCTGTCTCCCTTTCCTGGGCTCCCTTCCTCTGGATCTCCCTCCCTTGCAGCTGGGAACAACATAAAAAAACCAGTGTTTTGAGCCATCTGAAGGGGCAGAGGCAGCTGCTAAGACAGACCGAGGAGCACAGATGCTCCGGGACACCAGATACGGAAGGGCAGACATCCTGCCCTTAAAATACTCTGGCTCCCAGTGAGAATTTATAGGGGTGCCATGGGCTGGTGGGAGGGCAGACGGAAAGGCAGCCCGAGGAGCTCCTTCTCCGCAGCTCGGCAGGGCCAGACGTCCTATATTGGGCTCTCCGGGAAGCCCACCGGCAGCTGCGGCAGCACATGCCTCCCCTCTGCCCACGGGGATGATGGAGCTGCGAGCTGGGTATTTTTGCCAGAGCCCGAATTCTTGTTTTCCTCCTCGAGAGCCTTTGCCATAATGGCTGGCTGCTGGTAAAGGCTGAGCATAACCTTTCCAGCAACAAGAACTGAAGTGCCCTGCTTGGCAAGAGCAGCTCGGTGCCCATTTATAAACCTCTATTGTCCCTGTTCTCTCTTCTTTCCAGCCTTAATGTCAATGTTACCTAGAAACAGCCCTTTGCTCTTACCCAGGACCAACCGGCAGGCTGGGAACTTCCCGGATGGCTTTTTCTCCCCTGTGAAAGCTGTGCAGTGACTACAAACCAGTTCATGGGGACCAGTTGTCCTGGGTGGTGCTGGCAGCCCCCAGCCCCTTCGCTGCTCAGAGCCCTGGTGCATCTGGGATGGCCCCGGGGGGAAGTAGGGCAGCGGCACCCCGGGCAGAGGAGAAGGTGCCCAAGCCCACCAAGCCCCCAGCCGGGCTGTCTCCAGCTGGGGAGCCCAGAAAAAAAAAATTTCCCCCACTGCCGGAGGCCGTAGTCCACCTGCGAGCCAATCCCTGGCCATCTCCAGCCGTCCCGTCCCCGTTCCCAACACCCCGATGGCTGTGGGGTTGAGTTGGTTGGTAATGCACCAAAGCTGCTGCTGAGGCGAGTGAGGATTAGCGATAAATATCACAAACTGGATATGCACATCTCCTCCAGCCCAGCATCCTCAAAGCCCTGCCAGGACACATTTAACTGTGGAACACTTCTGCCGGTGAAGGCTTGCACGGCGGACAGCGCACCGGCATCTCCCCGCAGTGCTTCGCTGTGCCTGTGCGCGGTCCCGCACGCCCCCCGCCCTCGGGGCACAATATCCCGCCTGGTTTCGGACGCGCTCTGCGTTTTCCTCCACCTGCTCCAGCAGAGCAGCTGTAACTTTTCAAACTGCAGTTGCTTCACCCTTCCGACCTCTGCCAGGGGACGTGGGTGCTGCAATATTTCAGGGGGTTGTGGGGAGGTGGCTCAGCCTTTTTGTCTGGCTTTCTGGCTGGCGTAGCCGCCTCCATCTGCTCGAGGGAGAGCAAAGGCAACGCGGAGGCACACACAGAAGTGGTGTGGAGTGAGGAGCACCACGAGGGGACCAGCCCATGTCCTCTGCTCGTTGTTTTTCTTTATTCCTGCAGTCTCTCTGCCTGCAAAAGGAGGGCCCCCCCAGCTCATTTCTCCCCCTGCCTCCGTGCACCCCCCCGGTCTCCACCTGGTCTCCACCTTCCTGCCGTGCCCCAGCATCCCGGGGGGGCCCTGGGCCCTTCCCCCTCTCTGCGCTTGCTCTTTCTGTGCTGGGGCTTTGCAGAGCGACAGGAATGAATTTGCCTTCCCCTCCCCCCGCTCCCAGATCTGGACCATCGGATGCGTTTCGGCATTGATTTGCTTCGTGCTCAGCTTCCTAGAGCCATCCAGCCCCAAATCCCAAACCTTTAGCAACGATGTGAGCTGGAAACGAGGGCTTTTGGTGCCAGCTGCACCATGGTCCCCAGCGCGCACGGTGCAGCCGACCCATGGAGTGATGGTGCTGGAGGGTAATGAGGGGTGGGAGCAAAGGTTGGTGGCACCAAGGTCGGGGTTTGGCACCCAGAGAGAGCCTTTCGGGGCTGCTGGGGCTTGGGGTGGGCTCTGGCCGGCGTTAACAACCTGCCCTTCTCTTTGCCCCCGCCCTCTGGCATCCCCCACAGAAGCTGCTGATGGCAACTCGACCCTGGGCGGCGGCACGGGCACCATGGGGCTGAGCGCCCGCTACGGCCCCCAGTTCACCCTGCAGCACGTCCCCGATTACCGGCAGAACGTCTACATCCCGGGTAGCACGGCCACCCTCACCAACGCCGCCGGCAAGCGCGATGCCAAGAGCGCTGGCGCTTCGGGAGGCAACAAGAAGAAATCCGGGAAAAAGGAGAAGAAGTAGAGCAGAAGAAGGAGACCTTAGAGCCACAGGGCAGCTGGCTCCAGCACTCCCCCAAACCACAGCCCAGGCCGGAGGACGAATGTGAATTTTTTTTTTGTGATGCAAAAAGTAGGAAACGCTGCGAATGTATCTCGTCATCATCAGAGCTAGGAGCAGGCTTTCGCTGCTGGTAGATCTCATGATGAAAACCAATCCGGAAGCTAAACCCAACACAAACAAGTGCCCTGTGAATACTTGCTGATGTTTTATACGATCCCTCGGGTATTAGAATATGCAAGGGCAGAAGGTCTTCTGCCGCATCTTTGGATCCAATTTGCTCCCAGATGATCCGAGAAAGGCACAAGGCTTGTGCTCGGCTTTGCCCAGTGTAAATAATTTTAACGCGGATCTTTTAATTTATAGATCTTCAATCATTTCTTTTTTTTTTTTGGAAAGGAAAAGGAAGTTCCTAGCTTAGAGCCCGTGCTCCAATCTTTACTCTTAAACTTCCCATTAGTAAAATTCGCCCCCGGTTAATGACAGCGATGGATTTGTTGCTGAGAAGTTGGTAGGGAGTGCTTCAGTTCCTGCGTACCTGTTACCCGGAAAAAAAAATAAGTGTTTGTATTGCATGAGTCAAAGGGAATATGGCAAAGCTGCATCCTAAACGTTTTTGTTTTTAAAAAGTGCAACCACTGATGGCCTGAAGTATGAGACAAAAAAAAAAAACCCCTCCTGGTGTCTGAGAGGTAGGGAATTCAATGAGGAGCACGCCGGGGTGTGCGGCAGCTGCCCCTGCGGTTCTAGGGGTCTCCGAAGAGCAGACACATCTCATCCCTTCTTTGCAGTAAATATTTATATGTACAGTCAATGTTCTTCTGGAATTAAAGCTAAGAGAGTCTCGCTCCCCTGCGGCCAGGCTCCTTCAGGCAGGCGTCCGGCCGAGCCCCCGCCAAGGGGGCCGGGGGGCGATGCTTCACGTCTCTGCACACCGTGTCTGCATGCGCGTCCCTCACCCCCCCCCGCA